ATTATCTGCTTTCCAGAGTTTACGATAGCTTCGATTTTCTAAGAGTTAATAAAAACATCTATTTTTTGCAACCGTTGAACGATATATTCTGCGAATTCAGATCGTAGATGGGTTGAGTCTACTTTAGCTATGATGGCTTCTTCTTTTGATGTTCTGTTTGAATTTCTTGGAGTTTTGGAATCATCCTTTCCCTTCTTATTTTTTCTTATTTTGTTTTCTTCTTATTTTGCTCTTTATTTATTCTTCTTCTTATTTTGTTCTTTCTTCTTTTATCTGACCAATCTGTTGATAGCTTCCACAGATATAACATTCTTTCCTTCTCACCGAATATCTTTCTGGTTTTGAAGATTGTCGCATTCCTTCATTAGTTCTTCCGATTTGTAGCCAACTTTCACCTTGTTGAACTGCAACATGGCATGCTAAATCATTATCCAATGTTTGAAAGTTTGTCAGAAATGATTAAGTTAATTAAAGACTCAAAATCATTGACGTGTCTACTTTAACAATAATACATCCAACCTGATCTTAAACGAGAAGCGAACTGCAAATGAGTTTCCCCCGTCAACCTTTTAGCTTGGCGAAAATTTTCTAAACATATAATTGGCAATGGTTCATATTCCTTTATGATTAAACATTTAATTTTCCCATAATCTTTCATATCATCATTTTTAATATATACTAGAATATTAGAAGATTTGTCACCTATCAGTTTAAGTAAAATTTCAGAATTAAACTCATGTGGTACATTCTTATGCTTAAAAGTCCTTTCTATTGAATCAAAAAATAAGTTCCATGCTTCACCCTTTTTAGATACAGAAATTGATAATAACTATACAGCTTTCAAAAGTTTTATCTTCTACATTGCTTCTTTTGATTTGTGCCAACCATAATTTCCTCTGACTTCTTCCTTTCTTCAACTGTAGTACTAAGGAATTCATTGACAAAATTTGTATCTTTCAAATATTCTTTAGAACATAAAAGCTTATCTTTTAATTCTACAACTTTTAAACTGGAATCAGCTTCTGCACCGAGTTCTTTCAACACCGTAATCAAATCACTTTTGATTACTCCTTTAAACATATTTATCAGCAGTCTTCAAAATTATAACAAAGTTCCTTGCCTTTTCAGAATATCCAGACATCTTTGAACTGTCTTTCATGTGTTAGGCTTAACGTTACGCCACTTCTGTTTTTCCTTTCTGTCAATGCCCTAACCTTCCAACCTCTGATGATCCCTAAGAGAGCTTGTTGTGATGGCTTCATGGTTGAACAAGGCACCGCTTAACAAGACGAAACAAACATTTATTAAAAATAACATTTAAAGCATGATATTAAACTCGGAGCCTTGCATCGCTCCTACAGCGTAGAAAGAAAAAAAAAAAAGTACCTTCCTCTTCTGAGGCTAACATGCAACTCCTCTAAAATACAGTAACCCTCTTTGGAGGCTGCGTGCGCCAAGCGTGCTTTGTTGATCACCAAACAGTTGCCAGGTTCTACACTGTCATTTGGTGTTATGATTGCGTCGGAACTTACCACCTGATTTTGCAATGTCCTGTATTTTGTTTACACAGATTTCATGCCTGCATGTTTCACAACTTTCTGAATATTAGCATTTTGTTGCATCCAGTATTAAACATAATTATGCAAAATAAATTATAAGGTACTTAATAAAAGGCAATTTCACACTGAATGTTGTTTTCAGGTTTCTGTATGGTGCATGACTTGTTAATATAAGTTTTTCCAGTCCTTATGTATTACCTAATAGACCGCGAAACTTACACCAAGCAACATGATTTAGTTCCAACTATCATAACTTCTGCACTTTCATTTTATATAACCTAAACTGATTCTCCTGAATTCTAAAAATTCTTTTGCTTGATACTTCTCTAAATTCTAAAAATTTTGCCTTAATTTCTGCCGCCCAGTGAGGACACATAAGCTTTAGCGCCAATCCTGTGCTTAAATTTCTCCTCCTGAACACTTTGCAGTGTAGTGTAATCATTGCCAAGTATTTTGCCAATACAAAGGTTACTGTGCTCTTTGGTATTTCAGTTACTAACATCAAAGGAAAAAAAAAATTGTTTAAACATTGCTGTGTGAGTTGTTTCTCAAGCTGCTGTGTATTGACAGTCATGGTAATAAAAGCAAAAAATAATACATGATGAATTGCCAGGTTGGCATCAGGGATATAAATTACCGTATTTGACGGCATATAAGACGCACTTTATTTCCTAAATTTGGTCTCAAATGTGTGTGGCCGTCTAAATAAGGGTGCGTCTTATATGCCGTCAAATATGGTATTCAGTAGGTGTTTCAACAAATGTTTCAATCGACAATGTTTCAATGTAAATTGTTTCAGTTTGAGATGCATGCTAAGCAGAATGTCAGATACAGAGCCAAATTATTGATCACACAGATTTATGCTTATAAATGTTTGTTTCCTGAATATGGAAGAAGGTATTTTTGAAATTAAAAATTGGGACTCTTCACACACCTTGATTATGAAAAAATATTAAATGCATCTGGGTAAAGCATGCAAATAAACAAAAAAAAAAAAAAAAAAAAAAAAGTTGATGGAGTGTCATAGGTACAGAATTAAATCATTCCAGATATTTGAATTTTTGACTTTTTACTGTATGTGTTTAAACTAAAAAATCAACTAGTTGACTTTTTTTTTAATCGCTTTTGTTTTAAGAGAGGACAGGTCAGTTTTGTAATTTTTGAAAATTTTAAAATGAATGATATGTTCTCCAGTAAACTGTAAAGAGTTACTATAGCATTATATAAATGAAAATGTTCTTTCCCTAAAAGAATCCTCTCTGTACTGTGTGATACACAGTGGCAGCTCCTCTTTTTTTACACATGAGCATTTAGACCCCCAAAGAAAAATGAAGAAATAAATTTATTAGTAAATTAAATCAAATAATACTTATATACTTCTAGAATTTTGACAGTTATCCCCTCTCATTTTAAATATGCATTTCATTCAAATGTTGAAAGACACTATTCGAAGTTTTCCAAAAACTGTTATGTTCTAATAGAAATTATTGATTATATCCTGTTTTGTGGTGTATTTGAGCTCACACTTTAAGGATATGATGAACATGAGGATTTGTTAAATGGAGAAGTTTTCAGGGATCTTATCATCTCTTAAAGACCAGCTTACAAGTGCCACTGTTTTTAAAGGAATGTCAAAAGAAATTCGAAATAATTTATCAGACTGCATGTTCACTATTTGTCAGAATCACATAAAAAATGAGATCTTAAAAGCAAGTTTTCTTTATATAAAAGTAGATGAAATTACTGATGTGTCATCCACTTCCCAACTTATCATTTTTTGGTACATTTTAAGTAATGGGCAAGCGGTTGAGAGATTTTGGGAAATCACAAATCGACCTGGGCATGATGCTAATAATCTATAGTTGAATGTATTCAAGCAAGTTTGGAAAAAGAAGTAGATAAACACCAGAAATTAATACCATAGAGCTACAATGGTGCAGGCATGATGAGTGGTCATCATGCTGGTGTTCAAGCTTTTATTTAACATGCCTACAAGAATGCACAATTTTTGCATTGCTAGGTATATCAGCTCAGCTTGATTGCTGGGCAAGCAACCAATCAGAATCAGCAAGTTTAAGTATTTTTTTCCAACCTGGGTGGCATTGCTTTTTCAATAACTCTCTACAGAGAACTGCTATTCTAGATGAAACTGTTAGAAAAAGGATACCTTATAGTTCAGCTACTAAATAAAATTTTAAGAATTGAACTATCAATATAATGCATGAATACAGGAGACAGTTTATTGAATGCATGGAAAAAAAGAGTCAGCATCTAAACAAGCTGTAGCAATAAATCAAGCAGAGGCTATTTGCTGGGTGTTAGAATAATTGGAATTAATGTTTTGACTTACAGTGTTTCACAGAGTATGAGAAAAGATTTTCAACTCAGATTCTCAACCAAACAACTGTTCCATGTTACAGAAGCATCATCTGAAAACTGAAATAGGAGTAATTTACAGATGAAATTTCAGAAATACGACTGATACCCTTTGTTTTCAAAATTTATTATAGAAAACAACTTACAGAATACGTTTTTGGAGACCTACAAACTGCTCTAATTATTGTTACTATTCCAGTTATCACTGCTGAAGATGAGAGATTCATCTCAATTTTAAAATGAGTTAGGACATTTTTTAGAACTGTGAGCGAGGACAGATTAAATACTGTAGCTGTGTTCTCAACAGGAAAAAAGCATGATAAATGACATAACCTAATATCAATATTGATTTGTTTCCTAAAAAAAGGGATTGAATTCAATTTACAAAAATTTACTATACTATTTTGTACTGAGCATTCAAAGATATACGGTAAGAATATTATGGTTTATTGCATTCCATTGTAAAAAATAAGATGATTTATTTTTTCCCCTTACTTATGAGAACTTTACACTGTTTTCCTGTAATTTGTGAAAATGCAAATATATTTTAACTTGTAAGTTACATTGTATCTGGATATTTAATTTTCGAAACTTGTTTTGCTAGTCTCCATTTCAATAATCCATAAGCTTCTACTACACACATACAGATGAACTTTCTTTGGTACTTTTATGTTATGCACTTGCCATGCATTTGGTGGGTTTTTTAATTGTAAACTCACAATCAAATGTGTTAAATTAAACATACATGCAATTGTTGTGGTCTCCAGATGGCACTGTGTTTGGGTCTAGCATGTATTTGGTTACTCTTTCGCTGGTGCCAAAAAGCATGGCAGGTGCATAATGGAAAAAGTACCCTTTCTTTTATTATTAGGTGCTTAAGTGGAACCCTCTTCTTTAGTCTCACTTGAAATTAAAATGTGGTGTTGTAGTATCATTTTTTTTTCCAGTTGTATTATGACAGTGTAAGTGAAATTTATTTAATTACCTCAATTTAACTGTGTTGAAAATGCTTAAGGGACAGAGAAAATATTGCTTTCTACCTAAATGCTCCTGTTTTTAATCTAGGCTGCATTGGAATGATATTGACTGTGAAGAGAAATTATGGATTAAAGATAATGTTATCCAGCTTATAGGCACAGTAAGTAAACATATATTTCTGAAAATTACTGTTATTGAGCTATGATATTAGTTGTTTTGAACCTCATTCTGTTGCCTGAAGATCAAATATTGTCATTTTGGTGTGCAGAATTTATAACTTGTAATATAAATGCAAACAGTATTGGTATTCCTGTGCAAGACGTAATTTGATTCGAAAACATTTTTTCAGATTCACCTGTTAATGCATTTAGTAAAATCACATCAAACTACCTCTTCCAAGAAAAAAGCATTTTACTGTATTTCAGATGATGCCAAGTAAATGCCATTATGGTGGGGCCTGTGAAAAAGGGAAAATTCTGATTAAATATCCTATAATTTTAAGTTTACCACCAGCATATACTTACACGTGGTACATTTATGCATATAAAAATGATCTAATGAGCAACAACAGTTGCTTGCCTATTATTTTTAATTAACTGCTTCATTTATATGTTTTTAATTTTTCTTTAAGTTAACTAGTTTAAAGAAAGAGATATATTAATGTTATGAAATACGTATATGTGTATTACTGTATACCACATAACTAAAATTAATTATTTATAAAAACTATTTAGTTAACATTCTTAAACCTATGTTAAACTAAATAAAACCTAATTTAGGAAAATATTATTAATGTTATAAAGAATAAAATAAATCCAGGAATCAACATATATAACTGGACAGCTAGAATGGCATTTGTTGTAAGTGTAGGATTAAATGTATTTTATTTCAAAATTATTTTAAAGACAAATATATGATCAGATTTATATCGGTGGTGTTGATATGTCGGTGTATACCATATAACGATAAAGAAAAACATTTCTTAGGTGTTTTAATGAAACTTTTCTTTTTTGTAACTTGTACACTTTTTTGTAAATAACTTTTAATCAGTTTAACAATTTCCGCATAATATATTTTTTGTTTCACTATTGATACCAAAACTAAAATTTATGCTTATTATGTTTTTTTAAATTCAAGACTTAAAATTTAAGGATAAAACTGATTTTTCATTAAAATTAAAAAGAAAAAAAAGGTTATAGGAAACTTGTTTGATAATGGTTAGCAATTAAATATATGTCTGAAATAATTTTAAGCTTTTAAATATCATTTTAAATTGCTTAAAACTGTCATTGTTACCAGCAGCTCAACATGGAATTTTTTTATGATGTATGTGTAATTTTAAGTATTTTATAGGATGCAGAGTCTGCTACAAAAGAAGAAACTTATATAAAAGATGCCCTGTCTCGAATAGTAGTTGAGATAATAAAGAGAGAGTGGCCACAACAATGGCCATCACTCATGGAAGAACTTCATGCATTGTGTACTATGGGTGTAGGTATATATTTTGGATTACATTCATATCTCTTTCTTTCTTAAATATTCAAAAAATACTCTTCTATAGCTATCTGGAGATAATTGAATCAGTATTTTTAATTTACTTATTGCACATTTCAGGGTTCGTACAGTCCTTAATTGTCCTTAAGTTTTTTAATTGATTTTTGGTCCTTAAAAGTCCTTAATTTTGCTCAAAATTGACAGAAGGTCCTTAATTTTAATCATTTGAAATTTCTATTTGTTTTTACGACTGTCATTTTGAGTGTGAATTAGCATTTTGGAGGAATATTTTTGGCAATTTGCTGACAAATATGGTTATCTTTTGGATGGGTAAATGCCTTCATGGGTTATAATTTGTTCCTATTTCTAATATAAATTGTGGGATAGAGTTTCTGAGCAAGAAGTGAAACACAAGCATTTCGAAATTATTTAATTTTTTCTGATGAGGAGCTCTTAAACAACTTTTCACTTTTGGGGATGTGAATTCTTTTATTAGATGGTTCTAAATTTGGTGACTTGTCAACATTTTGGCGATTTTAAGATTAGTTTCTATAGAAAATAGACAGTCTTCGAACACTGGATCCATATTGAGATGACCTGGACAAGGTCGACTAAGATCCACAACAACAAATGAGGACCATTATTTGGCACTTTTAGCATGGTGGCACATGACTGCTACAGCTTCACAGTTTTTACATGAGCTATATGGTGCTACTGGAACGAAATTTTCACAGTCTACAGCTGCTGGAGATAGGGCTATTATGCCAAAGGACTAGCTGTTTATCTTCCACTCACTACAGCGCACAAGATGCTGCATTTAGTATGGTGCAGAAAATATGCACCTTGGACCTGACTTCAGTGTATCACCATGCTTTTTACAAATGAGTCGCGATTCAGTGTGGGCACTGATTCTAGGGATACCTTTATCCGGAGAAAAATGGTTCGAAGTTCCTGTTAATGGGCAACAATGCTCATCCACATAAAGCTCAGCTGGTCAACAGTTACCTAGAAAATGAGGATACTCGCCATATGGATTGGCCAGACAAATTTCCTTACCTTTATCCTATAGAGCAGGGATGGCCAAGACGTTGACCGCATTTCTCTGCGATATCACTGCAAAACTTAACGACTTAAATCTAAATTTACAAGGAAAGAATAAATGTTTAACAGACATGAGGAGCGCGATTAAAACTTTCAAAGAAACAGTTAAAAGGTATGCATCTCTATTAAGAAAACATGAATTGAGAAACTTCAAAAACATGGAGGAAGAGTGCATCCATAATCCAAACCGAGACTTCGAAGATTTCGCCGAACACTTAGATGCTTTGTTTGAAGAATTTGAAAGAAGATTCGCTGACTTAATTAGGTTGGAAGAAATACTCAATTTTATGATATTTCCATTTAATGAAAATGTCAACATTGATGGAGCATCTGAAAAAATAGCACATTTAATAGATACCACATCAGTGATGGTCGAGGAAGAAATTATTAAATTAAGATGGGATATATTTCTTAAATCCAAAGCATCTAGCGATACTGATTTTTGCAAATTAATTTCTGAGGAAACGTTTCCAAATATTTACAAATTGATTTTTTATTTGAAATCATACTTTGGATCAACGAATCTTTGCGAATCTGCTTTTTCAACCATGAACGCCATAAAAACCAAACATCGGTCACGTTTAACAGATGAACATTTAATTTTGTGTTTACACATTGCAATAAGCTCATACCAGCCACAATATGATAAACGTGCTGCAAATATACAGTGCCAAATTTCAACTAAACGAAGTGAATAAGATGGTCAATTTTTGATATATAAATACTTTGATTATTTTCATCAGTAAATTTTTATTTTGTAAATATTAATATTAAGTTTTTTTAGAAAAATTAGATAATTTACCATTTTTTCTTGTTACCAAAAATAAATACATAAACATGTACATTACGTTAATTTAGCTCTGCCATTGGTAGACTGCCTTCAATTTTTTAAATGTGAAATAGACCACGGATCCCAAAAAGTTGGCCACTCCTGCTATAGAGCATGTCTGCTGGAACTTTCATGGGAGGACAATTTCATCTTGCCATCCCCTTCAGAAAACCATCCTGGAGTTGAAAACTGCCTTGCTGCAGGAGTGGGATCAACTGCCACATAGACTCCTCAATAGCATCTTGTCCAGTATGTTGTCGTTCTCCACGACCTGCCTGGCTGTTGAGGGGGAACCATACCCGCCATTAGATTCATTTTCAGTTCAATATCACAACATGGATTTTAGACATCTGTGCAGTATGAGCTTTACTGATAATCATATACAAATAAAATGGCTTTTGAATGGTAAATCACTTCTTGTGTTATAAATGGATATCCATATCAAATTTCACTTAAAATGTGTTTATTCATTTTTCAGAATTTGGCATAATGTGCAAATTCTCTTAATTTTGCACACAAGTGTATTTTGATCTTATTTGCTTTTTAGAGACAATATGAATTTTATCAGGTATGGAAATGAGGCATTATGCTTATGCAGGTGGAATAGAATATTCATCTGTAGAATGAAAATGCGTGTTATGTTGTGGTAGAGCAATATTTGAGAGGAATTTGTATGGAGTGAGAATTCAAATATTCAGACTATCATATAGAATGCTCAGTTATTGGGAAATATAAAAATACACTACTTTTCTTTTAGGCTTTGGAAGGGCTTGGAAGAGTCGCACAAGAATGGTTATTTATAGTACTTAAATGTCATTTTTAGTCCCATATAATGTCACCATGTGTTTAGACTGTACTTTAAATTTGAGGTGCTTTGTTTAAAAATTTTTTCCTGCTATATTAATTTTATTTGAAACTAAATATGCTTGTATTAATTTTTACATAAAATAAATTCTTGATATAAAATGTCTTTGAAATTTATGTTATTTGTAAGGTTTTTACTAAATTTCCTTCAAATAGATAGTATATTTCTTCAACTAACATATAATTTTACTTTTCTTTTCCCCTTTTGATTTTGTTGAAAGCATTAAAATATGCAATATATAAGCTTGCTTTCTCTCTTTTGGCTGGGCTTTTTGATATTACAGAACAAAAATAATAAGGAATATTAATTCTGTCCACATGAGCTTTCACTAAATTAATGCTTCTCAAGATTTTTTCTCCCCCCCCCTTAAGTTCATGATGATCTTCTGTTTTTTATTTCCTCTTATTTATGCATTATGAGAATTGTTTTCCTTGCATTATTCCTACATAGTTTCAATGAACTTCGATGTATCTTACAAGTTTTATTTTGTTAAAGTATATTTGATTGTAACGTATGGGTTTAATTTTTTATGTATTTATTTGCTAATTTTTTAATCAAACAGGAAAAGCATTCTGTTAACAATGGACAATTTTCTTTGCTATTCAATGTATTAATGTTCTTTTCTGTTATAAAAGAGAGTAATTTAAATTTTTGTACCTCAGGATTCTCAAACTGAACTTGTACTGCTTGTGTTTTTACGGTTGGCAGAAGATATTGTTCAATTCCAGAATATTCCTGAGCAAAGAAGGAAAGAAATCTATAAGACACTCTGCTCACATTTAAATGAATTATTTGCATTCTTTTTGAAAACTGTCTCCGAAAATTGTAACAAATATTTTTCAAATGTAAGTTGCTGAAAATATATTTGCTCCTTTGCATTTTTTTCCTCTTTTAAATGTAAATTTCTCTTGAAATACTGTTTTGCACTTTTGACACATTTTGTTTAAATTTGGTTGCTTATTTTAACAAATATATTTTTAAATTTTTTTTTACAGAAGCAAAGTGGAATTCTTACAAAAGTAAGACATTTCAATTTGTTATTAAATTTATTGTATCAAAAGCTGCTTACTTTATAAGTGGTATTAATATTTTTATTACAACTGCTGAATCACTTTATGCTATTAATATTCCGATTATGGTTAATAATTTTAATGTATCAAATAATAGTTATTTGCTACTAATAAATATTGAATGGAGCATTTTTCACATTCACAAAGATTTAGCTTGTTTAGTTAATGACTTTAAGCCAATCAAGTTCTTCCTGATACTTTTAAAGCTCTGTTAACTTAATTTTTCAATTTTTGTTACTAATTTTGCCAACAGATGGCACTACTTTCCTGTTTGCTTTACTGCAGTAAGGTATAAATGGGACCATTAACGCCCCTGCTTTCCAGTTTTGCAAATTTCTTTGCTCCTGATGAAGAGGGACCTGTTTGCCCTCACATACGATTGAGTTTTTTGTTTGAATTTATGCCAAATACAAGGCTGTTTCTTTACTAGTTTTAAATATTGAGTAATTTATTGGTATAACAGAAACAGCCCACTCTAAACCATTATATTGAGATTCACAGATTTAACTTTCATGTAGCATTTTTGACATATTTAATTTATGCACAGAAACATTACTGTAACTTTTGTGTTAGAAAGATGAAAATACATAAAACTGTAATTTAGCTCTTTATCTGTAAGGTAAATCATATTAATTTGCCTACCATAGTATGTTAGATTTAGTAATTCAAGTCACTTTTATGGAAAGCTTCTACTCATGCATCTTTCTTGAAGAGTGTACAGTTGTTGATGGGTGATTGAACAGGAACTTTTGCTGTCTATAAGTAGTAATAAAATGTAATAGAAGTATTGTTAGAATGTAGGAACATTCGTCGCAATAAATCGGAAGATGAAGTAGAAAGTGAGTATTTGGAGAATGTAACTTTAGAACTTAGATATTGGTATACATATCTTTGGATCCAGTTATGAGTCTGAGCAAAAAAATAGTTTTACTGCTGGAGCCAGAATTTAAAATATTAGGAAGGTTCATAAAAACAGGAACCAAGGATCATGTTCAGTAGTTATACAAAAACTGAACTTGAAGGCATTTGCTTTTTCTGCTGTTTCTCTCTAGCTAGCTTAAACTAGGTCCGTTTTCTACTGCTTTAACACTTTGAGGTTTGGTGCATAAAATTTTTTTTGAAAAAAAAAAAAAAAAACAGGTAAACCTTTAAAGTAATTCATGACATGGGGGGATACTGCTTGTCCCACCGTTCATCTACAGCAGTAAAATGGCATCTTTGTCTGAGTGTAAATTCTCCTAATATACTTATGTAAAGTCCTAGTTTTAGCAACCAAAGGTGGGATGCCTGGCATCCTACCGCCCATCAAAGGGTTAACAGACAATGCATAAGGTAATTAATTTGCAACACTATAGAGAAAAATGTCTCTGAAAATAATTATATTTTGAAGATATTAGACTTTTACCAATAATATAATAATTTATAATAATTACTTTAAGAAAATCTATAAAATGACTTTTTCTTTTAATAAACAGAATAGTACATTTTCATAAATAGCAAGCCATTTTTAGTCCTATTTCATCTTAAGTTTTTATCTTTTAGCTATGTTTTCCATTAGGTTTTTATATTATTATTCCTGTATGCTTGGGCTACTTGTCTTATTCCTTCCCTTCTTTATTGTTTGTCTTCACCCCATATATATATATATATATATTTCCTTTCTCTTTGCAGGCAAGGATGCATTGTCGAGTTGCACAAGTTGCTCTAGAAACTCTCTCTGTATTTGTTGAATGGGTACCAGTTAACCATATCACTGAAACTTCATTAATTAAACATTTGTGTGTATTATTAGAAGATGAAGAATTAAGAACACATGCTGCACAGTGCTTATTGAGCATTCTTGACAGAAAAGTAAAACATATAAACTTATATTAAAATTAATATATATTTGATGAGACTTTTATATTTAACATACTTATTGTGGTTATATTCCAAAATATATCATGCATTGTTTGGCTTGTTTAAAAGTAGTTTGCAACAAACAGACCTTAAGCATTAAGTTAATAGCTTTAAAAAAGAGTTGTTATTAGAATAATAGAAATTAAAATGCCCGTGTAATAAATTGTGATGTGTATGAGTTATAATCTATGAATTATGTGAGTATCAGCTACATGTTGCAATGTATATAAGGTGAGGTACACTACCCGACATTGAAAATGAACACCAAGAAGAAATGGCCCAAAAATTATGCAAATTTCAGCGTAGATGTACTTCGCTGATTTATGCAAATGATATGAAATGCACATTTCTCCAGTGCACTCCAGGGAAGGAACCTGAAGAATGTTCAGTTTTCATGCCATTAGTTCTGCTAAAAAAATCATTGTACAAAATTTGTTCTTGTTCCACAGGATATGTGTAATAGCTGAGAATGCCAGTCCATCGTCAATAGAGGTAGTTCTAGCAGACAAACGATTTTATGAGGTGCATGGTGATTGGAGTGAGAAGGGCAGGGTGGTCCATATGGCAAACCTCAGCTGACATACACCTGGGCACATCCACTGTGCAATGATGGTTGGAATAAGAAAACATGTCATGTTCGAGGGGTGCCTGTTCAGCCAGAGCCATTTGCCATTTATTGGTGGCTAGTGGCCGTCACTCATGGTGTCCGTTAAGAAGATTGCCATTGACACCTTATCAAAGACACTAACATCTGCACAGTGATGCCAGTTTCGAGCGATGGGGACTACAGAATGGCACAGGTCAGGTTCTCGGATCAGTCACACTTGTTTCTCCAATGATAGTTGTCATGTACGAGTGTGGTTTGGATGTGGAGACAGGTCCAATGCAACAGCAACTGCAGAACACCCTAAAGTGTGGCATCATGGTTTGGGGTGCAGTTGCATTGATTCCAGGTTACCTCCAATTTGTATTAAGGGCAGTATGATGGTCCAATGATACGTGGATGATGTGTTGTGGCCAATGACACTCCCCAGCATTTAGGGAGTTTACCCTTTATCAGCAGGATAACACCTGACTACACACTGCTTACATCAGCCAATGTACTCTGCAAGGTGTAAAGATGCTTCCCTAGGCACCGTTCACCCCTGATCTCTCATCAATCGAACACATTTGGGATGTGATTGGACACCATTTGCAGACCCTGCCATTACAGCGTTTAGAAGGTAAACTGTAGTAAATGGTTGACTGGGAATGGAGAGCCATTCCTCAGGACACCGTCCATAGTCTCATTCTGTACCTAGACGTGTTGCTTCATGTATCGCTGTCCAAGGTGATCCTACAACTTTACTGAGTGGGTAAGTATTTAGGGCAAACAGTTTGCCAAAACAAAATTGCCAGCAGTCAGACTACCCAGAGTTGCAATCCATGACGTGAAATTAGACGTCACCAAGGAGAGGACATTGAACAGCACTAGGCTTTGAACACAGCCTTACCAGCAGCACTGCAAAAGTCTTATACTAGTTAAAAGATAAAGAAAATGGTCTCAAATCGGTGTTGGAATGTCAGCCGGCAGCCTTCCACCACATCATGCAATACTCCAGAATGTATTTTGGCTGGAGATTGCACCGAATTGCGGAATTCTTCAACACCAGACTTTGCTTCTGGTGCCAGGAATTTGGGCGCACGCAGCAAGACTGCAATAAAAAAGTCTACTGTGCCTACTGCTCCGGAAGCCACAATGCCAAGAACTGCAACTCCAAGATGGCCGCCTGCATCAGCTGTGCAGACTCTAACTACAGAAGTAACAACAAAATATCCTGCACCCGCCCTGCCTATGATATCTCCTGTCCCACCTACAGCAGGTATGCTGAAAGAATCAAACGCAGCACAACCTATGAGCGATAGCACTGCAGACATTCATCAATCTGTGCTCTCAAGCAGTCACTCATGCAACATCCCATGATGCAGATCTACTCCTGATACAGGAACCTTATTGCAGAGAAGGCTCAGTAGCAAGCCTTCCCATATTGGGGAAAATCTATCAACATATAGCAGAAACTAACGAACAAGCTCCCAGAACCAGAAGAAGAGTGAGCTCTATACAAAAACGACATACTTTCAGCCAAAATTACCAGTTGGAGAAAATTTTGTACTGAAAACAGCAATCTGTATGGAATCCTCCACAAGCTAGCCTCAAGTAAAATATATCAGCCAGTGCAAATTTTCATGCAGCCACCAAATACAAGCAACAACAATCCAGTGCAGAATATAACGACCACAATCCTCAACAAAGTCTTCCCCTCATACAACTCGGAGGAAGATATGCCAGCACAGAAAATTGTTTGCATGAATACCAACATCCAACCAACTCCACACGATATACCATTTAGTGATAAGGAAGTCAAGCAAGTTTTCCGACATGTATCCCCGAGAAAGGCCTCCGGTCTGGGCGGCATGGACTATAACATCATCAATGTTGCCTACAAAGCCGGCCCCTCCTTCTTCCACAAATTCTTTAACTAGCTGTTTGACAACCAAATATTCCTGCAGGCATTAAAGAAAGGACAAGTTGTCTTATTCCTCAAGAAGAACAAAAGCCTGCTTGATTTGCGCTCATTTCGCCCGATATGCCTTTTGTCAGCCCTGATGAAAGTTCACGAGAAATTAATTGTTAACAGATTAAAATAGCATCTCCATAGCAACAATCATCTCAGCCCCAGGCAGTATGGCTTTCGCACTGGTCTGTCCACTACGCATGCTCTCTACAAAATTTGTGAAACAATTCAACGCAATAGCAGTTCATATCCATTGACCTCCAGAGTGCGTTTCACCAGCACCCCCTGGATTCAAGGCCACGGCGTGTTTCCCAGGAGGAGGTGTGATGTCAGTGTTAGTAGGGATTGCATTCCACTTAGTTCTCCCCACCCAGGAATGTGGTGGGTGGATTTCCGGAGTTTTGACGGTCATTCGGTCAGTTCGTCCATAAGAACAGTCGACATTATCTTTCATTCTTTAGATATTTTAAGACTATTCCACTTTCATATTATTTGTTTTTCAAATTTTTTGATATGGTTTACACATGTTGTGAGCCGAACTGCAAAGGCAACTACCCAAATGGTCCAAAAGTATAGGTTTTCTCTTTTCTGAAAAAGAAAGAATTGTTAAACAAATGGATAAACACAATTCATAGAAACATTTTCAAGCCAACAAAATTTTCGAAGGTAAGTTGCGCTTTCTTTCTTTTTTTTTTTTTTTTTTTTTAATGAATAAGTTTATACTTATCTGCACTTTAAAATGTTCTTCTGTGTTAAATATATTATAATTATCATAAACTAAAGCGAGTACATACATTTGTACTCATAAGTAGTAAATGTATTTAATCTTATCGTAAGTATAATAGTGATTATATGAATATGATGACTTAATCATACTATTAATTAAATTTATAGCAGATAGTATTGCTTATCGTCATGCTAATCGTTCAATCTATAGCAGCTGGCATATTTATCATCATGCTAGTCACTTAATTTGTAGGAAATGACATTATTTACGAAGTTAAGTAAATTAAACAAATGTGTGACCTAAAATTAGGATTAGATATTAAATCTAGGACTAATAAAAATTTGAATTTTTAAATACATTTTATATGTTGCAATGTGCTTGCATTTAAATATCTCAATACATTTGTCACAGCAACAGCGTATTTATTAAAATCTGAGGACCTTGAAAAATCTAGGTAATATCTCTGTACCTAATGAAAATTTGTTTCTAATATTAATGTGAAAAAATACGCTATTTAAATTTTTATGAGTTAATGTCTGATATTCTTAAAGTTCACTTAATACAACATAAAGCATAAAAAATGAAATTTTACAAAATGTAGTATTTAATTCTAGCTTAAATAATTAAATCCGATTATAACAATTTTTGAATGCAAGCGTTTCGACGATAATAAATATATCATATGATAACGATAACGCATGTGACGCAAATTTGTTACTGTAATTATGTATAATTACGTAACAGTTCAAAAACTTCTGTCAATGGACAACGGACAAAAATTTTTACAAAGCAAAATTCAGAGACAAATAGCAGTGAAATTAACTGTACAAAATTTGAAAGACTTTTATGTATTTATAGATGCATGTGAAATCGGTTATTCGTCTGATATGATAGTAAAATATTTAGTAATGGTGGCAACAAATTCTTTATTAAATAATTATTGCAAAAAAAAAAAAAAAAAAAAATGAATAATGTGCCTAAGCCTGTAGTTAACAGGCACAAAATACAAACTGTTCAAAGCAAAATTTGAATTTTTACCTGATTCAGAGAATACATGCATTTCTATATATCTGCACGCATCAAAATTTATGAAATTCTGAGTTTCATTTCTTTTTTATCAAAGGTATTCATTATGTATTCCACTTTCATTTACATACATAGTGCAATATCAATGCAACTGTTATATGTGTATATGTCAAAGCTCATGAAATTTTTTTATTATGTTTTAATTTTTTAATTTAATTAATTCATATATATATATATATATATGTTAAAAATCCTGAAATTCTCTTTCTTCATCCCATGCACCATAAGAGCGTTATATGTTAGTGGTTTTATTCGAGAGTAATAATGCAGTGACGTGGTTTTCCCCATGTGTAACGTGTATACGAGCCAATTTCCCTTAGAAAGTCCTCCACGAAGGCATTCCTCCCTTTAGCCAGATAGCCCTTGTGTGCTTTGCTATAATTGAATAATCCAATCCAATAATGTAATGATAATTGTATTTTTCATTGTGTTCAATATCCCAATTTAGGATTTGTTATATTTGCATTTCACATAATACTGCTAAATCATATAAAATTTCGCTGTAGAGATCAGAGGTTTGCTATTTAGATCTATATCAGACCTCTATCAGAGGTTTGATATTTGCCATTTAGAATGCAAAATAA